AAACAAAAACCCCTAACTTATTATGAACCAGCATCATTTATCTATAGGATTCCAGATCATTTTTCAAACAGGAAGAGGAGACAACTCTGTTATTCCTGTGTCTCAGTCAGGACCATAACTGAGACTCACCAGCCACTTGTTGGCTGGCCTGAAATGCTCTATTACCATTTTAGAATCCTTTATCACAGTGGATGTGAACAATGTCCTCAAATGTAGCTTGTAAATGATCTTTCTCCAGTAATGAGATCCATAACCCCACAACATCTAGTGTTGACAATGAGGTCTTAGGTTGTCATGAACTCTGACCACACCTTAGAGGCTTGGATTGGGAGACTTGCCGTGAGCTAGTTTCATACCCCTCAGCTCTGACATCAGCTCATTCACTCATTGAGGCACTGATGTTTACAGACCATTGATACCATGCCATTTACAGACCAGAAAATGGAGGTATAGGAAACTGCCCTGTGGTCAAGGTCACACAGCCAGTATCATCTGAGCAGGAAATGGATCCAGTCTTTGGAACCCTACCTTTACCCAAACCTGTTCATGTTACTTGGGAACACATATCCACATACGTGTGCATGTATGAATACACAACATGACACACACACACCAGAAGCAGGCTGTGGGGTTTAATGCTTTATTATACGAATATGAACGATCTCTGCCACTATTCCCTCTTCATCAAGATTTGTTTCTGTCCTCCTTGCTGCTACCCAGAGAATGTCTGACTCTAAGCAGAAGTTTGGAATTTAAATTTCTTGAGGAGTATAAAAAGAAAGTCCTTCAGAATCTCTTTGATAAACAAAACTTAATGAATTATTGAGGTGGGAGCATATCTCAATTTGATTTCTTTGGTAAGAAGATCTCTTCTTTTTGCTCAGGCTGGTTTTGAACTCCTGACCTTGAGCAATCCGCCTGCCTCGGCCTCCCAAGAGCTAGGATTAACAGGCGTGAGCCACAGCGCCCGGCCGAGAGGTGACTCTTGATGCAAGATGAACACATTTTAATCAGCCCCAACAGCCCAGCTGGTCCTGGTGGCTCCCTGAGAAAGGCTAGGCATTTGCTGAGGTGGCTCAGGCCTTTGAGTGAGGTAGGAAGAGACTGGGACTGGCGGCGATGCTGGCTGAGAGAGAGGTCCCACTAAGGGCATGGGTGGGCTCAGGCAGGAGCACAGATGACCAAGAGGAAGGCCCAAGAGTGGCAGAGACCTGCCGCAGGTGCCCTTGCAGATATGCTCACCTGCTCAGCCCTCTGCCTGTTCTGCAGCCATAGCACTAAGCCCATGTGGATGGCCAGAAAGGTCTGAGAAGACTCCCATCTCCTGGGACCTGGTTTGCACCTACAAGAAACAGCTACTCATTTTGAGAGACCACCTGCCAATGCCCAAGGGCCCTGTCTTGCTGGCTGGTCCCTTTGTCCCATGAATTTGATCCACAACAGCAAGGAGTGAAAAGGGGTCAGACGAGATGCTTCGAAGTCTGGGAAGATGGGGTGACAGAATCTGCAAAGCTTGGCTTCCAAGTTGTTAAAAGAGGCACTAGATCTTAGGAGGTGGAGAGGACCTCCTTCCTAAACCAGGGTCCCCTCTACCATACTCTTGGCCACTGTCAGATTGGCAGGGTGAAGAAGTGGGGCTCTAGGAGGCTGCCTATCCTCTCCTAAAACAGCTTGAACACTTCAAAATCCTTTCTTATACAGAACTCAAATATGCCTGTGACAATTTTTCTTCTTTTTTGGAGACAGAATCTTGCTCTGTCACTGTAGACTGCAGTGGCATCATCATAGCTCACTGCAACCTCAAACTCCTACATGCTGGGACTACAGGTGTTCACCATCATGCCCAGCTAAAATTTTTTTTTTTTTCAGACAGAGTCTTACTTTGTTGCCCAGGCTAGAGTGAGTGCCGTGGCGTCAGCCTAGCTCGCAGCAACCTCACACTCCTGGGCTCAAGCGATCCTGCTGCCTCAGCCTCCCGAGTAGCTGGGACTACAGGCATGCGCCACCATGCCCGGCTAATTTTTTCTATATATATTAGTTGGCCAATTAATTTCTTTCTATTTATAGTAGAGATGGGGTCTCGCTCTTGCTCAGGCTGGTTTCGAACTCCTGCTCTCCAGAGATCTGCCTGTCTCGGCCTCCCAGAGTGCTAGGATTACAGGAGTGAGCCACCGCGCCCGGCCAATTTTTCTATTTTCAGTAGACACGGTCTTGCTGTTGCTCAGGCTGGTGTCCAACTCTTGAGCTCAAGCAATCTTCCTGCCTCAGCTTCCCAGAGTGTTGTGACAATTTAAAAAACATCTTATGAAAAATTCAATTCTATATAAAAGGGAATGGCATAATAAATGTAATTTATTCCTCCCCTAGCTACAACAACAGGCCTATCTTGTTACATCTCTGACCCTACCCACTCCTCTGCGACAATTTTAAAGAACAAAATGAGAAAAGTCTGCTGGTTTATGACAAAGACTGAGTGTATCAGGTACCCTGGTTGGCTGACCTATTACCTACTCCTAATTTCCTCCTTCCCTGTCTTCCATGACAGATGTTGTAAATGTCAAACACTTACTTTTCCAGCCTTCCCTGCAGCTAGGGGTGGCCTGATGACCCAGCTCTGGCCAGTAATGGGACATCAAGGAAAGTCTACTTTGAAGTTACTTTTTTTTTCAAGGTGCAACGTCATAACAAGGTTTGAGGGGGGCACATTTCACACAAGTGTGTGAACACATCATCTTCACGCTCATGAACTACAAAAGCATCTGAAGCTACTTTTTTCTGAAACAGAGTTTGGCTCTGTTGCCCAGGCTAGAGTGTCGTGGCATCAGCCCAGCTCACAGCAACCTCAAACTCCTGAGCTCAAGCGATCCTCCCGCCTCAGCCTCCCGGGTAGCTGGGACTACAGGCATGTATCACCATGCCTGGCTAATTTCTTCTATATTTAGTTGTTTGGCTAATTTCTTTCTATTTTTAGTAGAGACAGGGTCTCGCTCTTGCTCGGGCTGGTCTCAAACTCCTGAGCTCAAGCAATCCTCCTGCCTCGGCCTTCCCAGAGTGCTAGGATTACAGGCTTGAGCCACCGCGCCTGGCCTCAAGCTACTTTTAAATGTCTCTGTAAGATGATACATGTGTGTACATACATACATGTGCACACGTGTCAGCCAGAGGAAGCACTTCATCAGTGAGATGAAGTGAGGGTGGTACAGAAGGCTTTTAAAGAGGTTTCATGGAGATCAAGACGGAGACAGCTGAAGTCAAGGCAGATGGCACAGTTTAAAATGGGAAAGTGTGGGACAGCAAAGTAGGGATCTACAAATTGGGAGAGAGGACAGCTATAACAGCAACAGTCCAAACAGCTATGTATTCCCTGACTGGTGGCCAGATTCTGTCGAAAGGAACTAGACTAGAGGGGCTTTTCAAAAACTCACAGACAGGTAAGGAGTCATTGTGTGGAGGTCAAATATGTGCAGCAAACCTATTGGGAAAAGACATACCTTTCAGGAGACAGCAGAAGGGAAGTGACCTTTGTATACAATTGTGACATTATGTGCCCTAATGCAGGGCACAGATGGAGAAGCCTGTGTGAGGGCTGGATCCTGAACAAGATAGGCTGGGCCTAGGCACATAGTCATAATTTTCCTTGACACATCTGACTTGTTTCTCCATGCTTTGGAGCAAAGCAAAAATAGCAATCTCACATGTGAGAAGAACCCAGCAAGCTTTTGCAGCTTTTGTCTTATCTCTTAGTCTTCAAAGGTGTGAACATTAGCTAAAAAAAATAAATAAATAAAAACAAAAAACCCCCTAACTTATTATGAACCAGCATCATTTATTCTATAGGATTCCAGATCATTTTTCAAACAGGAAGAGGAGACAACTCTGTTATTCCTGTGTCTCAGTGCAGGACCATAACTGAGACCTCACCAGCCACTTGTTGGCTGGCCTGAAATGCTCTATTACCATTTTTAGAATCCTTTATCAGAGTGGATGTGAACAATGTCCTCAAATGTAGCTTGTAAATGATCTTTCTCAGTAATGAGATCCATAACCCCACAACCATCTAGTGTTGACAATGAGGTCTTAGGTTGTCATGAACTCTGACCACACCTTAGAGGCTTGGATTGGGAGACTTGCCGTGAGCTAGTTCTCATACCCCTCAGCTCTGACATCAGCTCATTTCACTCATTGAGGCACTGATGTTTACAGACCATTGATACCATGCCATTTACAGACCAGAAAATGGAGGTATAGGAAACTGCCCTGTGGTCAAGGTCACACAGCCAGTATCATCTGAGCAGGAAATGGATCCCAGTCTTTGGAACCCTACCTTTACCCAAACCTGTTCATGTTACTTGGGCAACACATATCCACATACGTGTGCATGTATGAATACACAAACATGCACACACACACACCAGAAGCAGGCTGTGGGGTTTAATGCTTTATTAATACGAATATGAACGATCTCTGCCACTATTTCCCTCTTCATCAAAGATTTGTTTCTGTCCTCCTTGCTGCTACCCAGAGAATGTCTGACTCTAAGCAGGAAGTTTGGAATTTAAATTTTCTTGAGGAGTATAAAAAAGAAAGTCCTTCAGAATACTCTTTGATAAACCAAAACTTAATGAATTATTGAGGTGGGAGTATATCTCAATTTGACTTTTCTTTGGTAAGAAGAAAACGGCTAAAAGAAAAAAGTTTGCTATTTCAGCAGTAACATATCCTTATTGTCAGCCTTACATGATGTCAGCAGGAATCCCAGTCAGTAGAGAGAGACGTCAGGGGAGGAGCCTGAGCAGAATGCAGAACAAACCGCCCAGGGCGTGGTGCTCCTTTCACAGTCGAGAGCCCCCTTCCCTAGGTATCCAGGGCAGGGCAGACTGCAGAAAGAGCCTCATGGCCCCAGAAAACTCACACCCTGGCTGGTCAACTCTTTTCACCACGGCTGGCATGTGCCGGCTCGGACTGGGAAGGGCTGTGCAGCAGAATAAAGGGCAGGCGAGTGAGGTCATCATCTGCACCAGCCTCTCATGGGACCAGCTTTTATTTATTTATTTCAAGACAAACTTTTAAAAGTAAAATGAATGAAACCACGAGATCAAGATACAGACAGAATTTCAAAGTAGAAAAAAAGACCTTGCTGGGAAACAGTCGGTAAGAAACACTGGAAAACATTTCACAGATACACAAGAAGCTCACATTGTAAACAGGATTAAGCTGCTATCGATTTTGCCCGTGACATCAAGGTTTCATTTTGCTCAGCCTGAGATCTCGCTCAATTTCAAATTGCCTGTGATCCACTCGATCTAGGAAAGCTTTCCGTTCAATGTACCTAGAAGAAGATGAAAACAATTATTTGTCAGCATAATCCAGTAGGAGAAACTGCCTCCCCTGCACAGTCCCATCCCCCAAGTATAAACCAGGTTACAGTTAGTGAGTACAGAGAACCACAGTCAGTGCCCAGAATGACCACCGTGACTCCTCTGGTAACATCCAAACCACTCACACTGGGACTCAATGAGGATGTTTCTGGTTCAGAAGTGAAAGAAAATATTAATAAAAATAAAAAGGAAAGGGCAACAACTTATCAAAGGGAAAGTATATTAGAGGCTAGGTGGCAGGAAAATGTTGCAAAATTTTTTTTTTTTTTTGGCCTGCCCGCTCTCTCTCTGAGTGGGGGTGAAGGACGGGCAAATGTTGCAAATTTATAACAAGACTTTAAGGGAAGAGAAAGAACATGAGTTTAGTCAAGCACAAGTTCAAATCCTAGCTTGGTTACATGTTAGCTGGGCAATGCTGGACAATGACTAAATAACTCTGAGCCTGGTTCTTCTGCACAGCAACACAGTGATGCTTTTAGTTCTTTCCTTCACCTAATCTTCTCTCCTCCCCTTGGTATCTTCCACTCAGTCTGGGACCAGGTTGCTTCTGCTAGGATAACAGGAGAGCCCTTTCCCTGAATTCCTCTAATGGAATGAGATTAAGGGCCTCTGTGGCCTACAGTCCACATGTAGGTTCCCTTAATAGGTAGACACTCTGCCCCTAATCTGGGGCCAGGTTCAGCAAACAAGGTTTCTCTTGTCCTCCCAGGTAGGATGGGAAGGAGTCACAGGCTGAAGCAGGCGCACTTGCCAGGAGGAGACTGGCTGCTTAACGAGACACAGCTGCATCTTAATGCACCTCCATGCCATAAAGTGTGCCAGGATCTGCCTGGCGGGAGGAGATCTCTGCTGCTAATTAATCTATTGAGAGAGCAAAATTGCCATTGAAAATGGGAGACATAAAAAAAAAAAGAAAATGGGAGGCATAATTGAATCTCTGCACTAATTTTTCTTTTGTTGCACTGTGGAAAATGTGCATCTGTCATTATAAGGTCGTTACATTTATAGTGAGAAATGTTACCAGGTTCAGAAACCTGTCTTCCTTTGCTGAGTTCAGGGCTTTGTTTTCCCTCCCAACAGCATCCTGGGAAGCCCAGTCCATCCTATTTGTCCTCCAGCCAGGCCTGTGGCCATGAACCCCAGACCTACAGAGGTCTGGCCAGAAGCATGCAAGCTCTGAGGCCACAGGGCTTGAAGTCTAATTTTTTTTTGAGACAGTATCTCACTATGTTACCCAGGCTAGAGTGCAGTGGTATGATCACAACTCACTGTAACCTCTAACTCATGAGTACAAGTGATCCTCCTGCCTCAGTTTCCCAAGTAGCAGGACTACAGATGTGCACAGGAGTTTGAATCTTGACTTGCTGGCTGTGTGACTCTGGGCAAGGCACATATGCCAATCTATTTCTTTATCTGCAAAAAGTAAAGGCTGATCATACCTACTCTGAAGGGCTGTGGTGTGGATTGAATGAAATAGTGTATACACAATGCTGGGCACAAAGCAAGTACTCAATAAAATGGTAGCTAATGTCCTCACCATCATTTTAGGAAGCCAGCTTCACTAGAGTCCTGAGGATGTAGATGGACCACGTCTTGACATACATTATCAGCAACTAGTAACCACCACCTGGTCTGGATCACGGGCTGAGCCGTTGTATCAAAATCGTCAATGAAGCTAGAATGGCTGGAAACACAGAATGGCACAGCCTGCTCTTGGGTTTGATATACACACTCATAGTCAGAGTTGTCAGATTTAATAAGATACAGGATGTCCAGTTAAATTTGAATTTCAGATTTCCTGGCAGACAAGGAAGCTGTAGACCCCTTTTGATTGAGAAAACGGGTACACCCAGGATAGCTAAGTATAGACACACGACAGAACAAACTCACCTTCTGTCTACGATCTATGATTGACCTGTGATTCTTCTGCTAACCAAAATTGCCTGAGGGGTCTCATCCCACCATAGCCGTTCATCCTTCCACCCCAGCCACTGGCCCTGGGGGAGTGTGCTACCATGGGAACCAGTATTTTGCCAGCACTGGGCTTTTTTTTTTTTTTGAGACAGAGTCTCACTTTGTTGCTCAGGCTAGAGTGAGTGCTGTGGCATCAGCCTAGCTCACAGCAACCTCAATCTCCTGGGCTCAAGCAATCCTATTGCCTCAGCCTCCCGAGTAGCTGGGACTACAGGCATGTGCCACCATGCTTGGCTAATTTTTTGTATATATATTTTTAGTTGGTCAATTAATTTCTTTCTATTTTTAGTAGAGACAGGGGTCTCACTCAGGCTGGTTTTGAACTCCTGACCTTGAGCAATCTGCCCGCCTCGGCCTCCCAGACTGCTAGGATGATAGGCGTGAGCCACCACACCTGGCCAGCACTGGGCTTTAACTGCTCCTCAGAAGTGCCCGCAGAAAATATGGGTGAACCACAGCTTGTGACATTGCTGGGCTGTCATTAGCCCAGGTAAAGACGAATTTAGGGCATCTTGCAAGAGAGATCTCCCAGTGCGACCTGTCTGGGAGATCAGGCGGAGGAAAGGAGAAGGAAGTATGTGGCTTTGAGCATTTGTGTCTTTTCTTCCTGACTTTTCTTAAACAGGAAGTGATACTTAAATTAGTATGCTCATTGAGCATCAGTAAAGGCCTTGTAGGTTCCTAGAAGCTGTGCCCAGTCTAGCTGACCTTGAGACCATCAAGGGCAAAACCCAGGCTGGGTGCCAGACAGGCAGGTACAGGTGGAGTTCAGGCTGAGGAAAGGCTTCAGACAGCACTGAGGGGCACATGTTCAGGATGCAACTGAATTCTCAAGGCAAACCAGACAAAGGCCATCAAGGCAAGTCTGGTGACTTTATTCCCCCATGCACAACCATCTGCAGCTGCTAACAGGATGCTTGTGACAGCCTTGGTTTACTGCCAAGAGCTGACCACGAACAAAACTATTGGATATGGACTCCCCCACCACCACTGAGAGACAGAAAAGGTGCTGAGGATGAGAGTGGCTCTGACATTTACTATTTGTGTGACTTTGGGCAAGATATTTAATTTCCTATATCTTCTTTTTTTCTTCTCTGTAAAACAGGAATAAAAATTATAATACCCCTCTGACAATAAATGAAACTCTGTGAGGAGTGCTTTGTAAACAATAAAAACAAAAATGGCTATGAAAGCTGTTAATGGGGTATGGGATTCTTTCCGTTTCTGACTAGACTTCATCACTACAGAGCTCAGAGCCCAGGACAACTGGAACAGAGACCAAATGCTCCTGAAATGGGAAGGGCTCATAAGGAAGGCCATCTCCTCCAAGGTGGCCACTGAGCCTCTGGAAGTTCTCAGCACTTTAAGTGGGTCACAGTCCCAGAACAGACCTGTCCGCTGACAAGTGCAGTGGATAGCGCTTGCTCCTTTTCCACCTCGGTGCTTTTCTCGCCTGTGCCCAGCCCTCCTGGGGACCCAGCATGATTCAGCCTAGTCCACTAGGAAGCCTGGCAGTGGAGGGTACGGTGCATCATCCCTTTTTGCTACTATTGCCTTCTGTGGCCCATTTAAGAGGCTCTTTACTTTCTTTAATAAAATATGCTAAGAACCTAGGGATTTTCTAGTTTTTCCTTTCAGAACCAGGTTAGACACAACAGGCTCTGATAGCTTTTTAATCTTTCAACCCAAATTACTTTTTTTTTTTTTTTTTGAGACAGAGACTTGCTCTGTCACTCCAGCTAGAGGACAATAGCATCATCATAGCTCACTGCAACCTCCAACTCCTGATCTCTAGTGACCTTCCCAGAGTGCCAGGATTACAGGTGTGAACCACTGCACCTGGCCTCAACCCAAATTACTTTAATGCCACCAATTTTCCTGAGATCCAGGCTAATAGAAAGGGAGGGAGAAAAGGAAGAAAAGGACAAGAGAAGGGTAGAAAATGCTACCAGGGAATATGTTGGTACAGGTTGAGCATACCATATCTGAAAAGCTCCAAAATCCAAAACTTTTTGAGCACTGACATGATGCTACAAGTGGAAAATTCCATGCCTGTCACCTTTGCTTTCCAATCGTTCGATGTACAAAAACTTTGTTTCATTATTAAAAATATCGTATAGCTGGGCAAAGTGGCTCAAGCCTGTAATCCCAGAACTTTGGGAGGCTAAGGCAGGAGGATTCATAACTCAGGGAGGCTAGGAGTTCAAGACCAGCCAGCCTGGGCAACATAGTATGACCCCATCTCCACAAATAGTAAAAAAAAATTAGCCAGGTGTGGTGGCGCACGGCTGTATAGTCCCAGCTACTCGGGAGGCTGAGACGGGAGGATCACCTGAACCCAGGAGTTCAAGGTTACAGTGACCTACGATTGTGCCACTGCACTCCAGCCTAGGCAACAGAGTGAGATACTGTCTCTGAAAAAACAAATAAAAAATTTGTATATGGGGGGAGGGGGGGAAATGGGCATTTATTGAAACCTTAAAATCTGTACCCCCATAATATGCCAGAATAAAAAAAAAATTAAAAAATTAAAAAAAAAAAAGCCAAAAAAAAAATTGTATAAAATTATCTTCAGGCTATTAATGTATAAGGCACACATGAAACAAATGAATATTATGCTTACACTTGGGTCCCATCCCCAAGATATCACACAATGTATATGGAAATATTCCAAAATCTTACGAAGTCCAAAATCCATTTTGGATAAGGGATACACAACTGGTAGCTACTATTTGGACACTCGCCCACTAAAAGGTCCGAGGGCTTTGAGGGTGGGAAGGCCCAATGGTATGCTGACCTCTCTCAAAGCTCAGTCATGTGGTCAGCCTGTGGCTGAAGGTTGGACAGGTCTCCAGCACACTTGGTCAGGAAAAGAGTGAGCATAGGGAGGTTCAGGAAGACTAAAGCAGGCACAATAACCGAGGATTTCCCAGGGCTGCATTTTTACCATGCCGGTGCAAGTAGAGCTAGTGTTTGG